CTTTGTAATTATTACTAATTAATTATAATAATAGGCGTGGCCGATCAAACAGCACTCCAATCATGCCTCTATGATGCTTCCTACTTTCTCTGTAGCAGTAAGAATTCTTGCAACAACTGTACTAGTTTGTAGACCAAGGACCAGTGCTTCAATGGGTGCAGTTAGCATTTGATTGATGCTTTCTCTGCGTAGAAATTTTCCATCTACGAAAATGCAGGATATCGTCCGACCATTCGTAATGTCGGTCAATGGTCTTCTAAAAATTGCCGTGGTGCTATCCAATCTTTAATCATCCAGCTGGTAAGATATATGAAAGAGTGTTGGATTAGCTACATTTTGATACCTAGAACACCTGCATTACTAGCTCTGCAGTGTCAATAATAGCGTCCGATAATACCTGGTTGCCGGAAATTGATAATTTACTCTACATGTTGCAATTATAGTTTTATGCATGTTACATGCACTGAAACACTGCATCTTAAACTTATCATTTTTATGATGTTTCTCGCAAGCTGTTTTGAACTGCCATACTCCTCAACATAATCTTAGATTCATGCCCTGTGCAATTTAGTATGCTAACTACAATTTTTGTGCAACTGTACTTAGAAATTGATCTATATTTTCTTATATCTCAGTGTTTATAGTTTTCATAGCCTATAGAAAAATGTGATTTTATTTTTTATTAATTGAAATAGAAAGGCAAAATGTCCAATGAATTAGAAAAATTTCTTATTGAACATAAGATTGAAGTTACACCACCAGCACTTAAGAAGTTAGATGAAGTGTATGGAGTCACTAAACTGGAGCATCTAGATTTTATAAAAAAGGAAGATCTAATGGATGTAGGTATGTAATGAAAATACAGTTTATGTGACCAGGCCTGAAGTATTGTTTCAAATAAGCAATAAACTCTTTCATTGTAGGTATCAAAGTTGTTCAATGTAGAGCTTTGCTTTATTACTATGATCAGTATAAAAAGCGAACATCAGCAATACCTATTCATACATCAGCAACACCTATTCATACATCAGCAACACCTGTTCACACACCTATTTCATTGTCACCATTGCAATTAAGTTACGATGTGATCAAACAAGCAACAAAGTCAAAGACACAGTTTCAAATAAAATATGTTCTCTGTATTGATATGTTTATTGTTAACCAAGAGGAGCAATACATATCTGTAAATCCAGAACAGGACACTATGGATTTTTTGATTAAAGAAATTTGCAACATACATCAGCTTTCTCAAGAGTTAACACTAGAGCTATACAATAAAAATGGAATTCCTTTGAATGTGAATGAATATACTTCGAATTGTAAGCATATCTATATACCAAACCTATATAAACTGCAAAAATTAATTTTTGCTGTTAAATTTTTACAGTGACACTTAGGAAATGGGAAGTACAGCTAAATGATTCATATTATGTTCTTCCACGAAGAAAATCACAACCTTTTTGGGATCCTCCAGCAACAATATTAGATGAGGCTAATGACAAAGGTATTTTATAATTTGCTTTTGCACAGGACTGTTCACACACTAGCAATACAAAATAATTATAACTAATTTTTGATATTTTATATATAGGCCAAAGCAAACTAAAAGTATTGAGTGAAGTTTTTGGGCATTTTACAATAGATGTAAATTTTGATACTCTCACAGTGGAAAGAGTGCTTCAAAAAGTTTCACGTATTTGGAATGTACCATCTTGTTTCTTGACATTACATAAAAAGTTTGTGTTAATTTGACTACTTGATATGCAATTGACAACTACTCACACTTAATAGTGAAACTGATGCTTCAATAAATCAAGATGTTAAAATAGCATCTGATGTTGATGAGGTCATCGTACGTTTCAAAGAGATTCATTCAGTTACTGGTTTTGGGAAACCTAGTTACATACCAATACAAGAGCAGACAGAGAAAGGATTGGCTAAATTTTATTCTGTTTTAAAATATTTGGTACAGTACTTTAAGTTTAGTTTATAACTATTATTTTTTACAATTACTAGTCATATTCTGGCCCTCGGTGCGATAAAATACCTTATGCTGTTTCCAAAATTGCAGATTGTGTTCCATTAACAGCAGCACTGTATCAATTTACAAAATTTTCATCATTTTCTCATTTGTCTCATTTAGTAAGGACATCAGATAATTACAATTACTTTTTCATCTAAATTAGGCTATTTTGTTTGAAGGATTTTATAGCTTGTCAAAAGCATTTTTGGAAAATTTTTGCAATGGTATGAACATTATATACTCATGCAAATTTAATACATTTTCTATTGTAGTTAAAGACAATGAAGTTTTTGAATTTTTTGACTACATTTTTGGGTATATAATGAAGTACTCTGAGGTATATTACTCCATACAACATTGAAACATTCAGTTTCATATAATATAGAATTTATATGACAGCCATACATTGGAATTTAATATAGTTGAACTGAAGTGTCCAATTACCAGTAACAAAATAATTGAGCCTGTTACCGTCTCTATAGATGCTGTCATAAATCAACTTTCATACGAAAGGAAGGCTGCAGTGAAGCTAATTAAAGGTAAAGATGATAATACTATTGTTTAATCTTCATGACTTCACTTTATTTAGACAAACAGGTTTTACCTCAATGTAAAGATTGCATTGAGGAACAGGATCTATTACCTAATGAGCAACTGCAACACTACCTAATTGCATTTTCATTCAGCAGAGTTGCAGATATTTTGGCCCTAAGAATTTCTTCAGAAAAAATGTATAATAATTGTTGTTATTTTAATAACCAGTTATATTTAATTTTTTTGAAGGAGACCATTGATGTTTCCATGTTCATGGAAAGAATTAAGGGAAAATGTGATAAAAGTAAGAAAGGAAGATTTTTTGGGTCAAAATGGCTGTTTCACTTGCAATAAAGCAGGTTAAAACTTTTTTGTTGCATTAAATTGTAAAAATATTTATAGGTCACTTTTCAGTTTACCTTGGTAATACAAAGACTGCAAAACTACAATATTATTTTTATAATCCAATGACATGTAAACAAGATACTTATGCAGAGGCTGATTTAGAAGAAATTAAAGGAAAAAGTGTCACTCACAATATTGCTGAGTTTCTTCATCCGAAAGCAAAAGCATTGCTGAAGGACTTTGAATCATCACAAAAAAGGTATAGAACATATTGAAATGCATGGATTCTGTGACTGTTGTTTCTTCAATTAGTAATGAACCATCCAGCAAAGAAGGCATAACTAAAGAGCCAAAGGAAGCTATTATGGTACATTACAAAAAGGCATAAACTCTAGAATTTGTTTAAAAATTTATAGGTAGTGCTTGATACAAGTAGTTCTATGAATGGAGAAATATTTAAAGAGTATTTACTATACATATATAATACTATATGCATTATTCATTGTAGATATGCCCCAAATGATAAATACAGACGAATTACTGCAGCCGTTGACTTCTTTACTGCATTTGCAAATAGAACACAAGCTTATGAATTTCCTCATGTTTTGGGTGCCATATACTTTAATGATACTCCCAAAGAAGTTTTATCACTGTCTGAATTACAGGCAAACTTTGAAGTATGTTGCGATTAAGTAAAAGCAAAATAATATTCATGCCATATTATAGACAACAATTAATAAGGCCAATAATGAAGTACGGGGTCAAACTGCCTTGTATGATGCTTTAAAAGCAGCAGCAAATACCCTTTCTGAGTTCACATCACAGTTTCCTTCATGCCATAGGTAAATTAAATTTTGCTAAAATAATAATTTTTTGAACTAGGAGAATTCTTTGCCTGACTGATGGAAAAGATAACAGATCCAAAGCTACACCATTTGATGTGTCAGCATTTCTTGCTGTAAGCTCATAGTGAAATGTTATTAAGGGTTGCATTATGAGGGCCGATATACACTGCCTGATATGATATGTGTCTAGGCTCTACATGTATTATATTTGGTTTGCATTTTTAGAAAAAAAATGTTGTTGTAGATTCTATATTAATAACTTCTGGAGGAAATGCAAACTTAAAAGCAATCTCTCATGCAACAGGTACATAAAATTTATAATTATATAAAGTATATTTGAGATAATTTAGGTGGGCTATGCTTTTTGCCTAAAAACCGCAGAGAAGGAACACGCATATTTGAAATGGAAACATTATTGTCAGTAAGACAAAGGAGTGAAAGGAAATTGCCTTCCCTTTCAAGTCAGGTATTACTATTAATTGTCTATATTATTTTTACTAATATAATAATCACTAATGACTAATTGTCATTCAGGCAGATTTTGATCAAATACAACAAAGAGATTATGATTCAACTGATCCATACTCATTCAAAAGCACCTTTTTTGAAGGAATTGATGAAACTGTAACTTGCTCTGCTAAGAGGTTTGATCTACACATCCTTTTGTATTATGTACTCATGGTATTATTATAATGACAAATATATACATTTTATAGAATGATAACGCTAGCAACAATAATGAGTGATGAACATTTGAGTCATACATCTAGTAGTAAACAACCTAATGTTCAAAGTCTTATGAGAGAATTAAAGACCTATGTGAAAAATCCTCATCAAGATATAGAAGTATTTCCTGATGAAAAAAAGTAACTACATATAATCTAATTTATTGTGCACAAGGTTGACATTTTTGTAGTATTTGCCAGTGGAAAATAATTCTGAGAGGACCATCAGGCACTCCTTATAGTGGAGGTCAGTAGTAATTATAGTGTAATAACATATCTATATTAACTGAAATAATTTGTAAAAATTACATGTGTATATGTATATATAGGAGTTTTTCTTATTTTTGCTAAATTTCCAAAGGAATATCCTTATAAGCCACCTGAGATGAGATTCATTACTCCAGTATGTTTTGTAAAAAAGAAAATTATACCATCTTATTTTAGATATATCATTGCAACATTAATTCAAATGGACGTATTTGTCATCCTATACTTGGTAGAAATTATTTACCTACCTTGTCAATTAAGGAAATTTTTGATCACATCTATGGTCTCTTGATGGCCCCAGAACCTGATGATCCTTTAGACAGGTGAGGAACTTAAGTTTTAAATTAATGGCACTAACTTTTCTTGTTTTACAAAGTGTACTTGCTGAAGAGTTTCATACCGAAAAGGATGAATACATGAGGAAAGCACGTGAACTGACACAAGATAAAGCAACTAAAGTAACATGGGAAAATTACAAGAAAGTGAGTAGACCTATATTAGTGTTGCTTTAATAGCTTTTCTCAGGCACTTGGTGAAGAGGCAGGTGATGTTTCAGATGATTTTAAATGCCCTTTAACTGGAAAACTATTTATAAATCCAGTTTCAACACCAAGTGGGCATACATATGAACGTGATGCATTACTGGAATATATGGCTAGAAATGATAATATGGATCCCAAATCTAAGCAGCGTATTGCAAATGATGAGCTTCGTCCTAATTCTATTATTAAAAAACTTGTTGACAATTTTCGAAAAACTAATTTGGTTTAAAAACTGCTTTTAGTTTCCTGTTGTGTGTTAGCTAGCTGTAGTGATATTTCATTTTTAGTATGTTTAAAATTAATGGAATACATTTCCAACATAATTTCACTATAAAATAATTATTATTATTATTTACTGAACTAACAGTTTAAGCATACAACAAAATTTAAAATGATGAGTATTGGTATGATAATCAAAGATAAAGACTAAAGCAGTCAACACAATATCTCTTTTTATCCTTATAAAAAACATTACTATCAGGCATATGCAAAATATACATTTATCTAAGAATCTTCTCTAATCTCCTAATGCAACAGACTGGGAGAAAGCAGCACCCCGGTCCCCGGCTAACAATAGATACAAGTGGCAGTATTATTAGTATTAATATTAATGCTACTCACTGTGCTCCAAGTGTGCAAAATCTCTATAAGAAAAAGTCCATAAGTCTCTGCACAATATCTTAATAGGATTGACTGACTATAGTACAAAAAACTACTGCAACTATACAACAAGCTTATACAATGAATGCAACAGCTATTTTTAGAATATACTATTGATCTAGTAGCAGGTAATCCGCATATACGGGCTGCATATAAATTGGCATACAAGTATTGTGGTAAGTATAATCTAAGGAAATTCACAATAATATTAATAACTATAGCATTAAAAGTAAATCATCAAGCAAAAAAAGATCTAGCTAATGAAGTCAAAAAAATCAAATAGTTTCATGGATCAGGCATTTCACTCTCTCTGCCAACACAGAACCAATGACGCCAGTAATTAGTCAGGAAAATATCATGTGGGTCTTTCTCCTTACGAATTTGAAGGAATTTCTTAAGATTAGGATACTGATCCATTACTAATATTTTTGGCCAGTCATAAGTCTTTCCCGACAAATCATCAGCTTTTGCGTCACTGGTGATTGGAGGAAAATGCTTTCCCCAATGTAAACGGAAAGGAATCCCTTCATCGCTGAAAAGCTTCCATACAGGAAGATAAAACTCTTGAGGGTCTTGGCCAGTGTGATCAAACCAGATAGCATCAATACGAAAGGCACCGCCCTCCCATTCATCATCTTCTCCATTAGAGTAGGACATGCTCATCCAAGCATCTGTTTTCTTGCTAGCATAAAGCTCCCAAGCCATGTTTCCAGTATAGTCATAGCCACCTTTATCAAAGTGATCACGAAGTAAGTTAGTAGATTTTGTGGCATATTTCATAGGGACCCACATCTCATTGAAGGAGCAAGGGAAAATGGTATCGTCTACAGAGTTGTCCATTGGTAGACCTTGAAAACCAGTGTCCTCAAAGTTTGTATCACCATCAAGGATGTTGGTAGCTGCAATAACTGTAGCTGAGAATGCCGGTAGCATCTCCAACCGCTTCTCTTGACTGGAAAATGTATCAGTCATCCAGATTACTAGCTGAAACAAAACCATTAAGATATTGGATGTTGATGCGGATATTTTTTCTGCCAGGCCTTCTAGAACCTTAGGGTCAATATCTTTTATGCATTTTTCTAATAAACTTTTAACATCTTTTTTGTGTAACTCCTTAAACCGAGGCTGCATCTTCCCAACTATGCCTATCACCTCTCCTATTTTGTCGTCCTTCAGATTTCCCATCAATGTCAGGAGATAAGAGGCCAGCATCATCTCCAATGCGGAATCAAAAACCTTGAAGCGCTGATCATCGCTGATACTAGAATCGTGCCTCTTTGCCTGCCAGACTTGAATTCTTTCTTTTAGCTCAAATTTAGCTGGGTGCTCCACAGTCGCAGTCTGTGGCCACCACATGATACGAGTGTATGGTGTTGTAGTGAGGAAAGGAGTCAGTCCCAGCTTACTAGAATCATCTCCATTTCGTTTAGCTGGCTCATCGCTGTATATATCAATGACCTCTGATGTATGAACCAGCTCACTCTTTTGACATCCCTTGATGTTAAATGATGGGGTACATTTAAATGTGACTTTCGATAGGACACCTAGCAGACCAACGGACACAAGTGCAGCCTTAAATTCATCAGAAGTAGGGGCACCCTTTGCATCACGGCTCACTTCGTAAATGTCTCCTTTACCATCAATGATCCTGAGGGTATAGACACTCTCCAAAACTCCATAATTAAATGAGCCACCAGAAGAGCCGGTGCTAATGAACCCAGATACAGTCTGGTGGGTGATTCCGCCTAAATCCTCAAGAGCTAAGCTATGATCATGATGAAGCTGATAGAGGAGAGAGTTCTCAAGGGTACTCAGAGGGTCTTTTGGATCGTGACCGAGGTGAATCCCTGCGTCAGCAGTAACAAAATCTCCTTCGCATGTAAACCCTGTGTAATGGTCTAGGGAGATGTTGATCTTGGTGACATTGGGGTCTTCAGAGTAAATAGCTGCAGCAGTAGAGTGGCCTGATCCTCGCACACGGACCTGGTAATGATGATTGTAAGCATACTTGACAAGGTCTTGTATTTCACTCTCTGTTTTCGGGTGATAGATCCCTTTCTCGTCTGGTCCAATAATGGCTGGATCAACAAGCTTTGCCATAATCTCGGTAAATTTCAGGAGCTGGAGAATGATGTTTACGCTGGACTCAGTCACCACAGGTTTTTATGCAGGTGTTTTAATTGGATTAGCTGGCCACACTCTGACATCATGCTGAGATCACCTAGTCTTCTTCCCATAATTCTTGGAGCTTGAGAAGGATAAGAGTCTAGAGGTCAAAGTATCTAAGTAGCAAATCTATGCCTTAAAGGCAAATAAGATAGTGAAGAAATTAAATCATACTTAAATCATAGCTTAGGTCATAACAGATAAAAGAACCAGAGTTATGATGTTGGGTAACATTTAGTATTATTATTAAAATGAGGCAAAAATAATAATTCCAGCTCAAAGAACAAAGAACAAAAGACTAGTCCATGCAGGCTTTGGTGCAAACAACATTCAACGACATGCCACAAGATGCATATGAGTAGTGAGTACTGTATTACATAATAGACAAACAGTTTTAGTGTACAACATTTAAAATGAGGAATATAACTGCAAGGTGTGATAATCAAAGATAAAGACTGGCAGCAAACACAATATCTCTCTTTATCCTCATAATACCTATTTTATACAACAACAGAATACACTAATCCATATACAAAATAATTATAAATGTTACCTTGCGCAAATTTGTTCTCAAGCTCAGTATTCCCTATCGTTTTTGCTGCCTGACACATTTGTCTAAGAATCTCCTCTAACCTCCTAATGCAACGGATTATGCTCCCTTCAAAAACGTCAGTCATTTTGCAGATCTGAGAGAAAGCAGCACCCTAACAATAAATAGCAGTATTATCAGTGTCACTATTACTGGTATTTACTGTGCTCCAAGCATGTAACACGTCCATTAGATGAGGTCGAAAACTCTCCACATAGGTATCCTCATCAATATCAAGCTTTGCTTCTTTGGCTACTTTTGCAATTTTACGAGCAGAATCCTTTGTAATAGTGAAATGATAAACAAATAAACAAAAGGCAGTCAGGGCTCGAAATTAATTATTTATCATCCTTGTCCAAGGCCAACGTAACCAAAATTTTTACTTGTCTAATGTTCGTTCACTTTTATAACAAAAAGAAACTGATCAATTATTTAGTTGTTAAGTTAAGGTCTCCGAGATCAAGGTCCATTCATGATTAAAATTTGGTTGACTGGTTGTATCATTTATAAGTGCGGCTTATTTTTATGGGTGTGGTCATTTTCAAAATGGCAGACAAGCTTGTAACATTTTACATGTCCCAGGCTCAAAGTAAGTTGTCTGTAGACAAGTGGACAAGCCTTAATTTCAAGCCCTGAAGGCAGTTTTTATTACCTGCATGAGTCTCAGTGGACCAGACAGCTCTTCAGTTAGTTTAGGCATCTCATCAGTCTGTGGAAATGAATTAGGACAATAGAATATATGTAACTATTGATAATGTGGTGCCACTAAAAGCAACTGATAATAGGAATCCATCCAACTTTGTGGCTACTTAATTTGATCTTATGGCAATTCTATGGTTACCTTGATATCCCTCATCAGTAACAGAGTGGACATAGATCAAAATAACCACAAAGATGTTTTCAACAAAGTTGGCTACGTATAGGTAATATTACCTTTTCCTGGAATACAAAACATGAGAGTAAAGCCACACACTGTTCCACTGAAAGGTCATTGAAGGCTCCATTGAATATCATCTCAGTGAGCAACAACTCCTCACCACTGTATACAGTATAAAAATTAACAGTTAATCATGTGTTAATATACTGTACCAGTCTATTTCACATGCTACTCTTCCTTTTAATTCAATCACATCTGAAGAATTAGCATACCCTAATCTAAGAATGAAGAGACACTGTCAGTGAATGGCTAGTAGTGCACTAGACTAGAGTACAGTAATGTATGGAAATTGCTAATGATGTACAGTGTACCTTCTAAGTACACGTTTCCTACACTTCAGTTCATCCATTTGCATTATCGTCTGTGCTTTCTTTAGTTCTCTCTTGGACTCTCTTACTGCAGAACTTAACTAAAACACACACACACATTCATCACTACATACCATATAGTGGATATATTTTGTCTGGAAAAATGTTCGTTTTAAGCAGGATTAGAAATTTTTGTTCGTTTTATTTTCGTTCTGAGTAGCCATTTTGTACACATGGCATTGAGAAAACGCCTTTTTTGTTTGGAAAATATTCGTTCCACAAGGAATGAGAACAAAATTAAACTCATGAAATATACCCGCTATACGGTATACATGTAACTAGATTGTCAACAACAACAATAATAATACAACCATTATCTACCTCAATCTTCCTCTGACATAATGAATTCAATTGCTCAAGGTTTGGATTTTTATGAGCAACACTAGTGACCAGTCGCTTCTCAAGTGCTTCAATTTTCTATCAAAAAAGAGAATATGTGTCTACATGATTACTTATGCTGTGTACTTTAACAATTTTCTTGAATTCCTCATCCTTGATGTTCATGTCAGCTACTGGATCCAGCAATGGAAGACCATCAGGGAATCTCTTTATCACTTCCTAGTCATCGACACAAATATAAATTATCACTAAAGACTGACCATAAATAATGATGTACTGCATAAAAGGAAATTTTGGAGAGACTAAAATTTGGCAAATTGCTAAATTTTGGTGATTGGCGGATTTTAATTTGGCAAATTTGTGGCCCTGTACCATTGAACATAATGACTCAAAATGGCAGATTTTTTTGGCAAATGGCTATCAAAATGCAAAATTTACCAAATTTAATTACCCCCAAATTTCCCCTATACGGTATATATATGCACATGTAGTATATCAAACTAATTTTATAAATTTTAACACACAATTATTCCATTGGCTTACATCTATAGATTTTCCAACCATGAATCTACTATCAGAAGGTCTAAGATCCTTAGGTAGGTAGACCCTGACAGAGCTCAACTTGTGAAGTGAATTAAGTGATGAAGGTATAATCTATTGGCATTACAATGAACATGTGTACAGTGATAAATGGCTTATAATATAAGCTTACTCTCATTTCTTCTCTGTTATTATGACCAGTGGCTGGTTTAGGGACAGCAGAATCAGTGGAACACCTCAATAATACTTCAACAATATATATGGTCTCTGGGATTGATGTCTATAGATAGATCAGGAGAATCATGATACAAATACAATGGATTTTCAGATGACTTTAATTATGAGTACGATTGCTAATCTTGCCATGGAATATATCATGTACTATATACATGTACATTGTACATGTAACCCGTGATCTTTGACTAGATTTTCGAACAATTTAAAAAACACAAAAATCCAATTTTGATGCTCAAAATTTCTAAACAACACACGTGTACGTTGTGAGTACATGTACATGTATACATGTATGTATCAGACAAAGTAAATTTTAAATTTTTTACAAAATTTGACCGAAGACCCCGTACTTACAGGGACTTTGCCCAATTTTGGAGCATCTTAAAAAATTCATAAAAAATCCAAATTTGATCGGAATCAGCTCAAACTTTCTACACAACATAAGTACATGTATATGCATCAAGAAAAATTATAATAATGGAGAATTCTCTACTTTTCATTTTTGATGAAATTTGGCCGAAGACTCTGTACTATTAGTAACGCGGTAGCGTTACTAAGTAGGATTCACCCCCAAACAAAATGGCTGCCACAACTTTTGTAGCCTTGCTATACCGGGAAAACGAGCTCCTATGTTTACCAGACTTTATAAAGGACCTTATCTTGACCAGAGGACTCCATTGGTACCAATAGCGTGGCTCTAGACCTTGTCTAAGAGAAAAACCAAAAATCGGCGAACCGGCCGTTTTGTTCAGCCACCTTTTTTCATCTTCATCATCATCATCATCATCAAGAAAGTCCTGGCAATTCAGTTGGCGAGCTGTATCTTGATCTTGACTCGTGCTAGAAGTATAATTATTACACCAATCTACTCCAACAGTCTATGCGCGGATCCATGTCCCCTAAAATCATTCTCCAAGATAAAAAAAAGTGACGTTATGACTGCTGTATCAGGCCAACTTACTTCCCATCACCATTTTGTTAATTATAGAAGCATGTGCTCCAAGATTTGGGCGTGGTCACGCATGCTCAGATATAGACCTCAGATTCTCAGAACTGGGAAAAGCAATCAATATTTTAACCTAGCTAGGCTAGCTATGCTTGGAATCAATTGCATTACTTAGTGGAGGTTTCCAGCTAAAAGAAGGTATTAATCTTACATGTTATTCTTTTATCAAGTGTTTAATGAATTATTTTATTTAAAAAACAATTAATGTTATAATAATGCAATGATTATGACTTTGACATCAGGAAGAACAAGAATAGATAGCTAGGGAAGATGGAGCTTCTTGAACAAGGATTTAAGTCAAGACTATAGTATTAATTTCACTTGTCATCAGTATAGTAGATATTCCTTCAGCATATCTATTTAATGCTGTGACTGCTGTCTCTCATAAATGCTGTAAAGTCATAAGAATAATAAAGAAAATTATTGTTTGTGTAAAATCGACAAGTATCACAATTGCAACTAAAAACATATTATAAATATTATTAAAAAATCAACACAAATAAGAACATAAAAAATAAAAAAAAACAAGA